GAGCAGGTGATGACATAGGCATTTATGATTATAATAACAATTGAATCGTTTGGCCGCCTCTATGTGCATCTACCAGTTCACCTGCTCCTGTGGAGCAAGGTACATCGGCCGTAGCCAGAGAATGCTTTCTACACGTATACGAGAACATGTTCCTGCTTGGTTTTATAAAGGTGAAAGAAAGTCTGTTAGAAGTTCGATTCTAGAACATTTGATTGACTTCCATCACACAACAAATCCAGACGATGACTTTGAAATTATTTATCGAATTCGTCCAAACCTCCCACGTTCTCTTCGTTTTCAACTCCTTAAAACAGCGGAGGCTTTAGCTATTCATGAACTAAGACCTGATCTGTGTGTACAAAAGAAGTATGTGCAGTCACTGTCTTTATCATGGCCATAACATTTTCCCACCCCATTAGCTCCCCCTCCCACTTTGTTAATTTAACCTTTGTATCCTTTCTTTATCACTATTATTGTTATTATAATCGCCTTCACTTCAACTAGTTTCACTTAATTGTCTTAATCCTTTTAGAAAACATTGACTTCATCTTGTCCAATTTGTCTAATGCCATTACATAATACTTAATTGATTTACCATTTTCAATAATTTTTTCACCCCCTTCTGAGTTATATACTCTCTATGTACCATTCCATATATTACATAATCTATTTGTTATCATTCGCACTTCAATTGTTATTATAATCATAAATGCCTATGTCATCACCCGCTCTATTATTACTGTCATCACCATATAGTGTTTAGTTTTCCTCACAGGATATAATTTTTTCCAAATACCATATATATACGATTGTACAGCTTGAAAATAAATTCGTTGAAAAGAGTCTCTTCGCTGAATATCTTGTTCTTTATATTATTTTGCCTAGTTGGTTCTATCGGATCTTTTAACCAATTAGGCAAAATAATATAATCTACCAAATTCCATGTAATGACTGTGAAGTCAAATACATAGGTCAAACTAGCCGGTCGGGGTCAGTTAGATTAACAGAACATAGGAATTTAGCTAAACATAGAACGGCAGACCCCAATAAGATCAATAACCTAGAAAAACACTCGGCCATTGCATTACATTCATTAACACACAACCACACAATAGGGGGGGACAAAACCACTGTACTTAAGTCCAATATAGCTAGGTGGAGAGAGAGATTAATTACTGAATCTCTGTTCATCGAATCCACACCCAACACATGTAATAGGAATGACGCAACACCTATACCAGAGATATGGAAAACTTTACAACCAATCAAAAAAACAAAGAGAGATCAGGTGACAGGACTTTAAAATCAGATATCGAAAGAAGTGTGATTACATTGATATGATTATGAGCAATAATTTATGCTGGAAACGTAATCAAGTAAATAATACTGTATCACTGTGTCCTTTATATCAAATAAACAAATCTAATATGGAATTACATTCTACCACAGTGCCCAAATTTTTCACTTATATTACTGATATGAACTAGTTTGGTTGGGCCGAAATGAGTAAAGGTGACAAAATATCTGACCATTTGGTGAAGGTTCAGTTCTGATTAAATCGTTTATGTTTCATGAATTTAAAGAAGTACTTTATATCGTAGTAACCAAGCTGTTGTAATCATCTAAGATGAAATTTTTTTAATTTGTCTTTATATTTTGGTTCATCAGCCAGGTGAACAGTATTAGTGCTTTCTGATAGTGTTCAATAGTGGAAAACGTTATTACCAGTAGGCAAAAATTATGTGAATAACTCTGTGAGGATTGTGTAAAGACGGATACGATAGCAACAAAACGTTAGAAAAACTTTTCGTCTGGATCTGTCCCACAGCAATAAAGTTACAGTAACAACAATACACGGACTTACAAAATTTTATCCACGAAAACAAAGCACAAACAAATTTAAAACTTACTATGGCACACAACAAACGTAATACACCACTGAAACAAATCTCTGTCACCTTATATTAAAAGGACAATATATGCAGTGTGTCTCAAACTGAAAACACAAAATATGAAAACATTTTTAGAAATTTAGTGGAAGGCAATGTATTGTAATAATGGCTATAGTTTTATTGAAATAATGTGTGTAGGTGGCGCTTATTGGGATATATGACTACCAATCTAACTAGCATGTTTGAAAACTGTAAATTAGTGGAGAGTAAATCAAAGTATTCAAAGGACAGATGTGAAACTGAAGTCACACAAATCTCTTACTGAAAATAAACTGAAATACTAACCATTAATAAAATTACCTGTAACCGAAGAGAATGTTCTACAAACAGACTAATTTCTACTGAATTTGATGATTAAAGCATTGCAGCCTAATGTTGCTGGATAGCAACCAAATGAAATCCCCATCAAATGAGTACACAATAGTAAAAATTAGTCACGCGAATATGAGATAGCTATACCAACTGACAGAATTGGTTTTATGGAAGGAAATATGATAAAAGACTAACCGAGAAGCTTCAAATTAATAGTATCTTAACTGAAAGACGGCTCGTACTAACACTAAACACGGTTAGCATTTCATCCATACACTAACTTAAATGAAAGTGACTGAAATGCAAAGGAGAAACTCGTATATCTCATTAATTAGGAGCTTAACATCATCATCCCAGTATGTACCACAAAAAAATATAAAATAAAAGCATTCAAGAATGAAATTTATTTGTAATTCAATGTAAAGAAGGCAATATAATACTTTGAAAAAATTTGTGAATAAGCAACATATAAACGTCATCTCAACGAGTAGGGAATAAAGAACATCTCACCATAGTTATTTCATGTACGTATCACATTATTAGGTGGAACGAAGCAATAGATATTCCTTGATAGCGTTATATCAGAAATGGGATAACTGGTTCATTGTATTCAGAATTCCTTAAAAATTGGTTCAGTAACTCAGGATATCTAGTATGAGTATTTGAAACAGCATTTTTTGAAAAAAATTCTTTGAAGTCATTTCGAACCATTCTTCACTATTTCAACAAATAGTAGTGAAAAACGGATGTTTTTGACAGAGACATTCAACTGTACAAATTCCGACCACATCATCTCATCAAGATATGCATTCAGAGAATAGTAATAGCGGTAAATAACGGTAAGTCGTGAATGTCATAAAGCTGATGAAACCCGAGAAAGCAGCAGGACCAGATAGAATTCCACCAGAAGCACTGAAAACAGACGCAGAGACAACAGTAGACATGCCCACACCACTACTGCAGAAAGTTTGGAAGGAAGGAAAAGTATCTGGCGACTGATTGGAAGATGGGCTACCTTGTCAAACTCCCAAAGAAGGTAGACCTAAGTATTTGCAAGAACTAGCGAGCAATCATGCCTCACTACTGTCCACCCCAAGCAAAATATTATGTCGCATCATCCTGGATAGAATAAAGGATGTGTTGGATTCAAAATTAAGACAGGAACAGGCTGGCTGGGCTCAGGAAGTACAAAGCATGTGCAAATCAAACTGCATCGCTACGCTACGCATCATTATGGAACAAAGCATAGAATGGCAGTCAGATCAACTCAACCTCAACTTCATCTACTTTGCAAAAGCCTTTGATAGCGTTGACCGAGAAATAATTTGGCAGACGGCTGCTTCAACTCTACGGAGTGCCACAAATCTTTATCAATGTCATTCAACAGCCTTATGCTAAATGGGATCATATGCCGAGTGGTTGACAATGGAATGCTCAGTGACGCGTTTGAAGTGAAGTGGAGACAAGAGTAAGTCAAGGTTGCCGCTTACTATCACCGACGATCTTGCTGATTGTGGTAGACTGGATCTTGCACCATACCGTGAGGAGCGAGAAGATGGGGAAGCGCTGGATGGACCGATTAAAAGAGCCTAGAAAATTTGGATTTTGCCGATGATGATTTATGTCTAATGTCGCACAAACTCGAAGACCTACAGGCGAAAACCAACAAGTTGACAGAAGAGGCAGGATACCGAAGACGGAAGGGACTTCAGGTGAGTGTAGAGAAGACAGAGGTGACGAAGATACCCAACCAACAACAGCATCAACAACAAGCACCAATCACCATCAACGGGAGAAATCTAAAGGGAGTAGTCCCGTTCACCTACCTAGGTAGGGCAGCATCGTTTCAGCTACAGACGGCGGCATAGACGAGGATGTCGCAACCAGGATCACAAAAGAAAGACAGACTTTCACTAATCTAAAATGAAAGTTGAGATCTACTGCTTTCAGCATAAAGAACAAGCACTTCTGTATGGCTCAGAAACTTGGTGTGTCACGAAAAGCATTTCAAACAAACTACAGACATTCATCAACAGCTGCCGTCTACGCTTACTCGATCAGAATAGTGAGAATAAGCAACAAGGAACTCTGGGAACGAACCAACCAAGAATCTATCACCCAACAAATATGCAGCAGAAGAAAGTGGAGATGGATTGAATTGGGTATACACTGAGAAGGTCGACTGGGGACATCATTTGCCAGCCAGTCCAGGCCCTCGAGTGGAATCCAAAAGGGAAACGATGAGTTGGGTGTCCAAGGGTGACATGGAGGAGATCGTGTGAGGAAGAAATGAAAGCTTGTGGGCAGTCGTGGCGCTAAGTAAAGAAGACTGCAGAGAAGAAAGTGGAATGGAGATGTTCTACTGAAGTCGTATGTTCCACTAGGAACCCAAGGGAAAAATAATAATTATAATGGTAAATAACGATCAACGTTTACTATGGTCTTAGAAAGGAATCTCTAACCGTTGATTTAAACTGCATAAAAAATATTTACTTTTTAGTTTGAATACGCTGTGCAACTGAGGTTAATGATCAGAGACTCTGTATAATACGACAGAGAACTGATATTTTCGGTGTAGACGCATACACATTCATCTACATAGTGTCTAAAGAGGGTACACTGGAACTTTTCAGAAATCTACACAATCATGTTGTAAAAAATAAAATTTAGAACGTATAACAAATGTGTTTACTGACATAGAAATTCTAATCTGTGAAGAATAACGTAATAACTTACTGTTTTTCATACTCTACAATGGCAGATTCAATTTCTTCGACCTTTTTTGATATGACTTTATCGTTACTTTTGTTAGTTCGGTTAACAGGTCCTACACTATCAGTATTATTATTATTATGATTAGTAGTAGTAGTAGTAGTGTTAATACATGTAGTGTTGTTTATTTTAGTATCTGTCGGATTATCTGTTGAAGAAAAGATTTGTTTGGAATCTTGGTTAACTAAATCGATGACTCGCTGACATCTAGCACAAAGTTTTGACGAGTCTTGCACTGGAGTACTAGAAATTTGTGGCAAATTACCTTGGCTTTTATTGTAAGAAACATTTTTAGTGATAATCAAATCAGCTGTAGAGGATTTTGTATTGGTCAGCGCTGTCATGCTCAGTGGTGTTGCAATGTTGATATTTCCATGTTCGGTAGTATCGTTTTTAACCACATCACACGATAATTTATCCGATGGCAGTTTGCGGATTCGCTCAGATTTATACATGTGTACAGAGTTGTTAGTAGTAGGGCTGTTATTATTGCTATTGGCTTGACCTGAGTTATTAAGCACAGATGCAGTAGTATTGAGAGCAGTAGTGGAAGGAGACGGGGATGAATTATGAGTTTTTACACTTTCAGATATGCTGATATTAGCACCGAAATGACCAGGGGGTAGAGAATTGTTCCCTGTCAAACTGACTGAACTTTCCCGGCGTCCATTAGTTGGATAGCGAAAACTGTAAGTATTTGATTCTCTGCGTGGTGTTTCTGAAGCGCCGGTGCGAGAAGCAGCATCTGACGAACGATAGCCGCAAAAGTTTAAGCAGAAAGTGGATTGGTGATGATTACTGTTGATTGTTTGTTTTCTCATTCGTCGACTTGAATTCCTAATGCATCTCGAATATAATGACGCTAAGAAATTATATGAACCATTGCCACTAACATTAGTATTAACTTTTCTTGACACTCCAGAAGATGGCTTCACCGTTACTGTTGAAGTGACATTTGTGAATGTAGTTGTAGTTGACTTATCACCTCCAGTTTGTTGGGATAATGAACAATTGGTTAGTTTATGGTCACCTAAAATCAAATATAAAGGAGTGTAGAGCATACGAAACAAAAAGGTACATTTCAACGTTATACAAGAAGCTGAAATATTAGATTTTGTTTATAAGTATCGTCCAACCATATCTCCAACCATTGATTTCTATCAGTTGACGCTAATAAAATTAGATGACATGGAATCTCTCATTGAACTGTCGTCATTTAATACCAAGCGTTAGGGTTAATTTTAAGAAAATACTCTCATGGTTCGACTTCATCATAGTGAATTCATTTGATCCTTTAAGTGCCATGTTTACAGAATAAGTAGTTTGTCAAAATAAGATTACTATTTTCATTTTATTTACATTAGAAAAGTAACACATGTCAGTACATGCGATGAGCGAATCAGCTGGGCAACAAATGTTGAAGGTGTAGTAAAGTATGTGTATCAGAAATATGAATAGATATGAATTCATGTAGTAAGCTATCATTTGTAGATGTTATCTGAAGATTTACCACAGTAAGATAAACGCATATAAGACGTGTAAGAGACTAACGCAGTCGTGCCAGAACTCCAGCTGAAACCTCTTTTGGTTAGTAAGCAAAGTTTATTTCATTTTCTATAGGGAATTAAATTTCGTTTCTAAATTTCAGCCATGTAAAACTCGTTTTCTTGTATTCAGTAAGCGCGGCTACAGCCTATTATGATTTCACTGGGCCAGTTAAGGACAACTGTTAATCCTAGGATTGCTACACCCACTTCCTTACTAACTTAAAACATGTTATTCTTTTTCAAGTCAGATCAAATTACTCTTGAAGATTATTATTGGTTATAAAGACCTGCGGAAAGTCTCACAAAAACATTCATCCAACCGCATTTACAACTCATGGTAATCGGTATCAAATTACTTCTTGACAGGTTCCGACTATCATTCACCTTCATTTGCATTTATATCCATTTTGTGATCATTTTGTTTTAGAACAAGTCTATATCGTGCATAATTTTCCTCACAAACAGAAATATTACCGTAATAAAAGCGACGATAATAAACAGCATAGGGCTACTAACTGTACTAACTGTACAACGAACATAGACTGTCTACCGTGAACTGCCTTACAAAACATAATGGGATTAGGAACACGATGCAAGAAAAAGATCCATCAGTGAGTCAAAAGAAATATGAACCATAAGAGTACGGTAGCAAAAGAATAGGTGAAACGCTTTTAAGTTGATATTAATCACAAACTGACATCAGTTGGAGAACCATTGAAAACCTGGAAGCTCTGGATAGCTGTACCGTCCAAGTTTGGGACTCCTTACAAATGCGTATCTATGACTCCATCAGAGATCAAACCGAGGGTCTTAAGGTGCCACGGCCATCACTTTCTCATTGGATTCCGACTCATAGGCTCAATGGTAAATTTCTAGGTGTGACACCGGAACACTCTTGGTTGGATCCTTGACAGAGTCATGCATGTACCCTGATAAGGAATCCCATACTTCAACAATATAGCTGATCAGTGCTTCTAGGGTTTTCAATGGTTCTCCAACTGATGTCAGTCTGTGATGAATGCCAAGTTAAAATAAATGACACCCCATAAGGGTTAAATAATTCAAGCTAAAAAGTATAAGTTAGGTTTGAATCATTTAATATAGATCAGTCTCCTTTATACCAACAGTACTGATAACTTTTAGTTAACTTAACAAACATAACTGAGATGGAACATTTCTAAAATAATAATGAAATAACATAAGTTCATACAAACCAGAATTGTAATGTCTGAAATTATCACTTAAGGTTTATTTCGCTTCACTTCATAATTATAATGCTTTCAAACAATTTTTACGATGCTTATAGTAGTCTTACTTCCTTTTGCTATTCATTCGATTATGATACTGACATTTCAGTTGAATTTGATATCATCAACTACTTCGGAAATAGAAACTCATAAAGTTGTCTCTAAGTGGATGCATTCTGTATATTAGTTCTTTAAATGAAATAAATTCAAGATGATGATTTCAGAATAGTGATGTAGAGCTTCTAATTTCCTATTTGAGAATGTTTTTTGGATCATATCAGTAATAAACTACAGTGTTCATTGAAAAAGAAACCTAACAAGTTTATTGTAAAGTATATCATGCCCTAAAAATTAACTTGAAATCATGCTTACATTAAATTTCCTTGCTTCTGTTGGTTAAAGCTGAAAATTTTTATAAGGTTCTTTTTCGTTTCATTTTATCATCTAATGACATAAGTTCACATCGACTGACTTTGTGGTTGTAAAGCAGGCCCATATACACTGAGTGAATAGTAAGTTATTTTCAATGTAAGTTCAATATCTATGGTTAGCAAAATGTACATTCATTGATCATTGAAGAGTAATCTATTTCATAATTCGTAATCCTAAGTAATGGAAGAATCCTACCAATCATTTTTTAAACTGGTTTACAAAACTAAGAAACTCACCACAGTGGTACACTTCGATTTGTGTTAAGTAACTAGAATCATTGACAGGAATCCCTAAACGTAGATTTCCTGCTTCTCAGCACTCATCAGCTCGGCGTATATGCGACTCTAAGAGATCTTTTTTCGACTCAAACGAAATACATTGTTATGTTTAATCTCCTATTTTTGAGACCACACTCAGAAACGAGCGACAGATTACTGTCAGCACTCGGACTAAATAGCTTGGAAATGGTTCTTCCTCAGTGACCAATAAATGTATCTTGTCCAGTTTCACAGGGGGTCAATTATGCCTTGGATAACTTGCTGGTATGGTCTCTGAATGTGGCGATTGGTAATGTAGGTTAAAACCTCTGAGATGATATTGGTTCCCTCGAGTTTGTTGATTCTAAATGTTGATGAGTGATAACCAAGTGGCGCTTACTGTTGATAATTCCCTCTAAACATCTAACATTTGATGTTAAACATTTTGAATATTAGTAAATAATTGTTGATAAACCATTATATGTCCTGAAAAAAACATTATTGAAGGTAACATGTCAATAGTACTTGTTTTTGTAGGCAATGTACTTTTGAGTATACAATCAATCAGTTAGTATTAAGCATTTGCAAAATACACATTATGTGGTGATACTACAAAAACAAAGTGACGGTCAGTTGTGAAATTTCCACGATGTTTCCTTATAGCAACCGAAATATTCAGACTTCATATTGTAACCTACTAGACACCATAAATAGTATTAGGATTTTTAGCATAAGAGCTACACGAAAAAGCAGAACTGTGTTATTTCCGTTATATAATCATCATTTATATTCATTGTTTTTATCATTTGGTGGTTGAGTTTCATAAAAATTATTCAGCATCATCATTCTTATCACATTTCCCTGTTGTGTACGATACTTGTTATTTATTTATTTATTCATCAATCAGACTTAAAACCTTATCGATATACGGCAATAAAGTATCAATCCTGTATGAACAATAGAAAGTCAAACAAACCGAATAACTAATTGGATTGTCAATTAATTGAATCAAATTTCGGTATTATTGTTTTTGCTATTGCTCTTATCAACCTTCGTTTATTTTCAACACTGATTTCCGCTTTTTTTTTATTATTGAGGGAGAAGTGCTTCTAACGTAAGGGCTTGTTAACCTAGTTATATTGTCAAACCACTTCTAGATGAAACAGCAAGGAAGAAAGACAGTATTACGAAGCGTTAAAAAAGTAGAAAATATCCTTATTTAGAAAGCGGAAACCATTAACAGGATGCCTTGAACGTAAGCTTTCTGCTTACTAGCTCTTGTGAGCAAGGTATTCCACATATACTTTTTTTGATGACTGTTTCTTAGCACATAACATTATCCACACTCTTATATCTCTGAACTAGAACTCCATATTACAGCTGTGATCCATATTATTTGGTTAGCACTTAGCATCTCTTGATATGATATTGGTTACTACATTGCAGTTTCGTTTCATCTGGCTTAGTGATTGAGTCACATGCCAAATTACTACATTCTAACTAGCATTTACAACGGGAGATTTGCACTCTTAACAATTCTTTCTCAGAATCCTCTTATTTATTCTTATAGATTTAGGGTGTATTAAAAATATTTTTCCGTATGTCCTTAGTTCTATTTAAATTACCCCCTACGTAGTAACCATTTATATAATTAAACTGATGGTTCTGTTTATGCATATCAGCATAGTTTGTTTTCTAGCAGCAGATGTAAATCAACGGGTCACCAGCACTAATTCTGTTCGCGAATATAAAGTGCTTAGGTTAAATTGTAAGTTAACCACAATATTTAATCGCGTTTATCTAATGGAATTGTCAAATTATGAGGATAACGAAATTTTTAGTAAAAGTGTATAATATTCCATTATATAAATTATAGTTTTCCATCGTCATTTGAACCGAATTACTATTAGCACATGATTCTGATGTTAACCCCGAAGATGCCAGTAATCAAAGTTTGAAACTAATGGTGGCTAGCAGTGGGATCCAGAACACGCATTTCGTTCCATTTAGTAGCCAATCAATTCAGTCTAAAGGATGACGGGAAATTGCAAGCAACAACAATAAAATTAAGCTCACTGAACAAAGGGTGACTATCATGAGTTAGTTCTGACGTTTGAAGCAATGGGCCTTGAATTCGAGTATCATTGGGAACATCACCCATATGATGAGTAGCAGTAAGAATAAGACTGCCGTTCCGGAATTCGTTGTTAGCCACAATCCGTCCTGAAGGCCTACTATTCGAGTGATTATTTCAAAACAAATTTGATACAGTGTTGAATCAAACAAGAATGTCTACAAAATCATAAAGGAGTACAACAGTGTGAGAATGAAAAAAATCGTTATATTTCACTGTAAAAGCATGAGGTATACAAAGATGAGCATATTTATTCGGAGAAAATTAGCGAGAGCAATAGTAGAAGACAATGAAAGTCGTAACAACCAATCAAAGAAAAAACTGTACCTAAAAATTACTAAAAAATGTCAATACATTGTTCAAATTTCGCTTATTTCCTCTTTCACCTTCTCTTCCTCTTAGATCAAGTATAC